CGGGGCGTGGGATGGCGGCTAGGGAAAGGACAAGAAAATTGAAATCACAATATGACTTAGGGTTTATGAGTCACCCTAGGGCTCCAGGTACCTAAATAATGGGAACTGGGTACTATATTCCCTACAGTTACATAGCCCAGTAACCTACTATTTAGGTAATTGGGAGCCCTAGAGTCAGGGAATGGAAAAGAAACTGGAAACTACAACGTGGTTTAGGGTTGATGGATTAGGGAATGGACAAGAGCATGGAAACTACAGCACGGTTAAGGGTTTATAGATTAGGGAATGGACAAGGAAAACGGAAACTACAATAGTAGTGTCCATTTTCTTTTCAATTATCCCTGTATAACCCATTATACAACCCTAATGTAACCCTTCTATAACCGCAATATAGAACCCAAACCCTAACTTTCAGGTTTGAGGTTCAGGCTTTTGGGATGGAAAACGTGGAAACTTCAATCTGGTTTAGGGCTTATTCATTAGAATGGTTCAGGGTTTAGGGTTTAGGGACTGGACAAGAAGATGGAAGCTACAATATGATTAGAGGTGTAGGGACTAGGTAATGGAAAAGAAAATGGAAGCGGCAAAATGATTAAATGAAGTTGCCGCTGGCTAGTCTCCAAGCCCTGAAAACTCTGGGCCAGAATCTAAGGAAATTTCAAATGGGCAGCTTCACCCCCCCCACAATCAGTATATATATATATATATGTATAGGTATATGCCTGATGTAAGCCTTATTGGACTCACCTGGGACCTCATCACCTGACAATTCCCTTGCTAGAAAACTAGAAACAGCGGTTTTCTTAACATCTCCATTGGGCAGGCTGCAATGGCTGAAGCTCTGCAGCAGCATCAGGATCTACCTAGATATGTGAGCTATAGCTTAAGCTAATGGGGGGGGGGGGGTGTCATATAGGGGACTATATAAGGGAGTATCATAGGCGTTATTAATTAGGGGGATACTAGGACTTTAGATTATAGCTCGTCTAGACCTCCCAAAAACCAACAACAACTGCGCAAAGCTCAAAAAGCTGCAAGAGACATGTCCTGCTTAGTTGCGAATGAGGGACTAGATCATTATTGCAGTCCCTATACGCAATTCGCCAGAAGTACCCTCTGCCGCATTCCCAATTTTGCCAGCATGAGCAACTTCTTTACGATAATCCTCAACACCGAAAGACTAAACAACGTGAACGCTTGAGCCCCAAACCAAGCCCATGTCCGATGTCCTGCCGCTACCCACGTCCATCTGACCCCAAGTCTGGACCAATGTACATGGACATGGGAGTTTATTAATCTCTATTCTGAGGATGCTTCTACTAGGGAGTAGGTAGAGGAGACCCCTATTATTAAAGATCCCATATTGGCTACTGTTTATCAATATAGGCCTTATTAAGGGGCCCTTAACGGTGCGCATAGGGGTAGTATAGTCCCAGATATAGTTTTGTTACAAGGACCCTCATGTCCATCAAATTATGTAAGAAACATTGATTGTAGCTCATAATATGCCTACCTCGTCTCCAAGAAGTCAAGCTTAAATCCCTAAGCCCTAAACCCTAAACAACTGAACGCACTGGCCCCTTGCATGTTCCTCTGCGCACCAGGCCACCAGAAGCACGTTTTTCAGGCCAAAGCCCAAGCCTCTACTTGGAGGGTCAGGGGGACTTAGTAAGTAGGTTAATAATTGGGATAACTGGGCTTATTACATGGGTTATAGGTGTTATCGACCTACATAGTAAGTCCCACTGACCCTCCAAGTACCTTGTGCGGGTTGCTGCTAAGGAACTTAAAGTTAAGTTACTCAAAGGAGGAAACTGCCTTGTTTTCTATATACCCATATTATGGTAACATAATTTAAGTTCCTTAACAGCGATGCAGCTAGTTCTGGGGTTGGGGGTCCAGCGTTCTGCTGCTGCCGTTCCCCCTACGACCCGGCTACAACTGCAACTGCTGCTGATGCTGCCCAGACCCCTGATTAATAAACCCCCTCCCCTTAATAGCAATTATAGTAGGGATCCTAATATTTAGGCCAGGTTTTTTTAATTATGGGTCAACATTAGTCCTCTTGCTGTTCCTGCTACTACAAAAGCCATTGCTACTGCCACCATCGGCGCTTTCTCCTGCTCCAGCAGCTGCTGCTGCCGCTGCTGCTGCCGCTCGGGCGCCGATGCCGTTGTAGTGCCGCCGCAGCCAACAATGCCACTGTCGTTGCTGAAGATAAAAACTTGGATGCCGTATGCATGTTTTGAGAGGTTTCCTGGCCGAAGTCCCATCTCGACTTGTCATTTTCCAACCCCTGACCTATAAACACCTCCAAACACATTATTCTGGATTAGCGTACTTGGACTCCTTTGGCAAGATGCGCAACAGGCCAGCGAAGAGCTGTCCACCTCCGACTCCGCAAACGAGGTCACTGACTCTGGCTGCACCGTCCCCACCATAACCTCATATAGGAAATGTCACGACGCCGCAGCGGTAATCTAGATCGGGAGACGATAAATCGCGAACATTTTCAACTTTGGGTGGTAGTGTTGTATAAGAAGAACGGAAAACCTGTGCTTGGTGCTACTACCAATGACACTACAGTAGCCAGTTTTGTTCTATAGTACTAAACTGAGATTGGGCGCATGTGTTTCCCAACATATTTAGGACAACTTTAGGCGAGTTACCGCTTATGCTCGGGGCGAGAAAGGAGCTCCGACGTATCCGCTTTTATCTCGCAGGTAAATTAGGGGCTCCTCCCGGCGTTATAAGTATGGGAGGAGAAGCGTTTGTTGGTAAGTAATTGCGCGGTTACTTGTCAAAGGCCCTGGAAGGAACTGTGTGAAGTTGACGGTTCCTCCCTGGTGATCCAAGTCTACGCAACTACTAGCTGCTTGGGTCCACAAAAATGTCTATGTTTTGCCCTTAGTGGGTATGATAGTATGGTCTAGATTAGGAGGACCCCCCACCCTGTAATAGTGGTATAATAGGAGTATAAGAGGACCCCAATGTAATCCTTACTATTCCTTATAGTCACTATTACTGGGTGGGGGGTCCACCTAAGGTCTAGAGTTCTGGGTTTAGGCGTCCCTTTGAAGCTTGGGTGACTTTTCCAGTTGACTTGGTGTCTCCTACTCTTCCCCACCCTGGAGTGAATCAACACATTGCATCCCAACGAAGATTTAGGGTTTAGGGTTTAAGGTTTAGGGTTTAGGGTAAGCCTCTAGTAGCTCTTTGTAAGCAGTTTTCCACCCTAACCCCAAAAGGCCACAATTTGTTGCTAACCATTCTGTCGAAGCCCTAACCTCCCATCCACAAAAACTCAGGTCAAATCCTACAAGGCGAAGGGTTTAGAGCTTCGGCTTGCCTGCACACCTGAAGCCTATCCAGGGGAAGCTTAACTGGGGGCTTAAAGAGAGGCTTTAAGGGGGGCTGGGAGGGGTGTAGGAAGGGCTCGCAGGATTATTTCTTTAAAGCAATTTCACTTAACTCCTGCACCATTGTAGCATACCTCGTTTGGAACGCAGAAGATAGTAGCTAGCAGGTTATACAGCATGGCTAGGGTATTAATAAGGGTCTAGGTAAACCGCTCCAAATGGGCCCATGTAGGTAACATTTACAGACTTGGGGGCCGATTGCAGGTAGATGTAGGTAGTATGTATCTCAACCCCAAACCTTCTGGGGACACCTTCAACCCAAATCCCCAACAACCGACCCGCTAGGATGTTGACATCGCGCTGGTGTGAGGGGAGGAATAGGCGCCTGTGAGTGTGTTGGGCTTATATGGGGACGTGTACAGGGTTGCCACCAATCATGAGAAATTAAATGGAACACGTAAGCAACATTTATTTGGTATTGCAATCATGTAGGTGGGTTATACTGTAGGGTTTAATTAAGTAATGGTTGTGGGGTTTAGGGTTTCAGAGGCGCTGATCGAGGAACTCATGGGGCCGTGTAAAGATTGCAGATGGTGAAGGTGGGTTGTGCGGTCATTGTTAGGAACTTAATGAATAAGACTCTTTCAAACGTAGGGGCGCATAAGAACTAAGTGGTTGTTCGAAACTGTAGGGGCTAAAAGGGAGTGCATTGCAAAGTGTGGGTCAAAGATTCTGAGGCCTAGGTGCGGCCTCTAAAAGGACTGCCGTTGAATTATATTGATGATGAAGCCGATGCGATGGTAGTAGTCTTGACGATGATGATGATGTTGATGATGATACCATGATGATGATGACTATGATTATTCTGCTTCTGCTGCTGCTGCTGCTGCTGCTGCTGCTGCTGCTGCTGCTGCTGCTTGCGGTGATGGTGGGATGGTGGCGGCGGCGGTTGTGGTGGCGGTGGTGGTGGCGGGAGCAGCCGCAGCGCCGGCGGTGGTAGCGGTGGTGGCAGGCGGTGGCGATGTTTAATACAATGTCAATAATGCCTTGATCATTCATTCTCATGATTCGCAGCTTAAGGCAAGGCACATAGATGATTTCGTGTTGCACTCATTCGCAGGGCGCGGAAATTGCAGGCCAGATCCTGAACGCCAACATGTGGCCGGCTTGCGGAAAGACGGACAGCATGCTACTTGGAGGGCCAGGGGGACTTAGTGAGTAGTCTACGAATCACTATAAACTACATAATACATAATTATCCGAACTATCCCAATGTTTAACCTACTTATTAAGTCCCCTGACCCTACAAGCAGAGCCCCACAATCCATCGGTAGCTGGGCCCTTGGCTACAATTCAGGGCATATATTCCTGCACTATTGAGGCTTGAGAGCCTTCCTCTAGCATGGATTGTGGAGTCTCGGGGCAAGTATTGCTTTTGTTGCCTCTTTTGCTTTCTGTCCCCTTCATGTGGTGCATGCGGCCCGTGTACAAGCCAGCCGCTATGAGCGCAAAACCCCAAAACCTGCCCATCCTGCTTTTTCAGAAGGAGCCCTCTACCGCCGGTGGATGATGCTCAAGGGGTCACACAGGACCAGGAACAGCCCCGCGACCTTTCGCACCCTCCGGAGTAGAATAGCGATGATGGCACCCCGAGCTTTGCTAGTGGCGCTCTTGCTGCCAGCCTGCTCTGCCATCACTTGGGCCGCTCGACAACCAAGTGCTACGCATGCTTGATTTCCATCATGTCTGGCATGTTGGGCTGAGGTGAAGAGTGCAGCCGGGGCAAGCTGCGACCAGGCCTGTGCAGCCCGCTCTGGCTGCACCGAGGAGGCCTGGCCGCAATCCGAGGAGGAGTTCCAGGATGCTGCCAAAGCTGCAGGCGAGATAGGGACGAGCCTGTGATCAGCTGTTGCATTGAAAGCTGGCCTCTGTCAATGTCCTTGTCCTACGTCGCAGGTCAAGCCTGCGAAAGCACGCAGAGCGGCGGGGCCAAGTATGACCCAAGCACGGACGGCCACCACTGTGGCTGGCAAGGTCCAGATCACATGGATGGAGAGGCCAGGTGTGCCCAGTCCGGTGACTCTGGCACGTATCGCTTCTGCCCGTGCAACGCGGACAAGGAGCTGTAGGCCCGGTGCCCGAGCTCGCTTCAACATTTTCTGCACGCATGTTGCGGTTGTTTCCCCATAGCTCATTTCGCTTGCAGATGAGGTCGCCCACGCCAGCAGAAGCCGTTGGCAAGTTCCAGAACAGAGGTTTCGTGCCCGCTTGGTAGTGATAGTCTTGGCTAGCAGGACTTTGCAGGTCAGCTGTATGGGTCAGGGTTCCCAAAGCAGGGAGCCGCTGAACAGAAACAGCCCTTGTGGCACGCATGGAAGTATTGGCCGAGAAAAGAGCCGTGCTATTGGCTTTGCACCTATATAAGCTCATTTGGGTCCACAGCTCAACCTGGGAAGTTGCATGACACGACACGTGCGCATCGTGCCGCTCAAAGGGTCACATAGGACCAGGAACAGCCCCGCGACCTTTCGCACCCTCCAAAGTAGAATAGCGATGATGGCACCCC